AAAGTTGTTTTTGTTTTGAAAGAGCAAGTACCTTAGAACCTCTACCTACTCAAAAGAAATTAAGCTGTGTAAATGTCCTTTAGACAATACTATCCCACTATTGAGAAGTAGGTAGCACCGTCGTTGGAGTTATTCGGGTCAATTCGATTATAGGGACATGTGGTCACCAAAGCAATAGTAGGACGCCTTAGCGGCAACCCTAATGTCCTAGATCCTTTTTATCCGAGGCAACTGTTTTGAGGCAACTTGGATCTTTAGACAGGAGGGCGACCTCTAAAACACCCTATACTCAATGACCACGTCGAGGAAACCAAGTGAGGCGTACCCTAGGAGTGGCATGTGCGAGTGTGTTAGGATTTAATTTAAATTATCTTTGCACAAGTCATGGTGAGATACGAGTTGATTTTAATTTCATACAAGTCTTGTCATGCATAGCAGTTAATAGTTGTGCGGAAAGTAAATTATGGAAAGTAAATCTACGCTATTATAAGGCGTCGAGTATTTACATCGCCAAAAACAACCCTTGAAAAGTAAATGCAAGAAAATAAAGAAAGCGATAAAAAGTCCTAATTACGCTATTACATCCTCGGAGCAATTACATAAATATGATCCAAAAAAAATAATATGCGCGAAAAGAAATTAAATCGGAGACGTCCTTAGGGTTTTGACCCTTTTTGAGAAAGAATGAAATTTGGTCCTTTTTGCATTTAATTAAACCTAATTCTAATTAGTTAATTAAAAGAATTATTTTTTAAGTTTTTTATGTTTTTTAATGAAAATAAAATAAAAAGATAATTAAAATTGTCAAAACCCTAATTCTATGTGAATTTTATTTGTTATGAAAATAATTAAAGTTAACCTAAATAAAACAACTAAATTAATTAATTACATTTATTTACAAAAATAATAATATTAAAGGTGAAATTAATAAATAATTATAAAAATAAAAATATTACATTTTTTGGTTTTCTGATTTTTATTATAAAAATAATTAATTATGTTAATTAAATAATAATAATAATAATTAATAAAAGAAAATAAAAAGGAATAATAAACCAGGGGGGTGATGGCCCATTAGGAGGTGTTAATTGCAGTTTGAGGCCCAATAAGCTCTTCATCCACGTTGACCTTTGGAATCAGCTATGCATGTGTTGACTGAGGATTATGATGTTCCTTCTCTCGTGGCCATTAGATATGTGCCCATAGCCACATGGCTCTTGGATGATTGGAGGCATATGGTGGAACACTTCCTGAAGCCTGCATGTAATCATATGTAGAAAAATAGAAACAAATATTTGGGGGACCTGGGATTCGAACCCAAGTCCCAATGATCACCAGCCAGCGCATCATCCACTAAGCCATTTGCACGCTTTGATATTATAATACTACACAATCATTATATTCAGAAACCAAACAATATGCTATAAAAACAAATAAAATGCGCGTATTTTGAATTGTCCAACCATACGCTTACACCTCATCATCGTCCTCGTTGTGCCTGTAACAAACAAAGTTAGATAGCGGGGGTTTTTAACCCCCACAACCTACAACAACGAAAAATAGCAATTAGCTCTAGGATTTACATAAATGTTTCGCGGGGGTGGCTTTGGATTCGTCTGAGTCTCCTGAATTCAATCATGGGCCTCATAAGGTTTAACTTTTCCTGTACTGTAAAGCCCCAATTTTAAGGCTTATGAACCCTAGAATTCATCAATGGCACCTTGTGATTCTGTGCGTTTTAATTCAATTAAACTATGCCAATAGCTTCATGAGGTCTCTAGCAACACAAAACAAACAAGAAATCATGTTAATGATGCATGAATCATGAATTACGATTATGAAAAAAATGTCAAACCGTGCGACTGTAGGTGATGGTTTCTTGAGCTTTTATGCTTGGTTTTGATTGCAATACGTCTCTAGGAACCCCTGCAATAGATTAGAATCAATAAAAGCCTTTGAATCACGCTAGAATATGGAAATCAGTTTTCAAGTTTCTTGAGTTTTTTTCAATATGGTTATGGCTTTCTTGCAGCAGCTTTCACGTATGCATGAATAGGGTTGGCTTGTGTACTTATAGGAGACTGAAATTAGGTTAAAATCTTGCAAAGAAATCCATGGAATGATGATTCAATATTTGATTGGAAATCACATCTTTTTGAATCTTTTTGATTGAAGAAAGTTGCCAAATTAGGAGATATTTGCATCCTTGATTGGTACACGAAATTGCCAGCCTTTTTAGGTCATTCTTGCTTCACAAGAAGATTGAAAAATCAAATCTTTGTATTTCCTACAATTTAAATTAATTAAATGAATTAATATTGATTAAAAATCCAAATAATTAAAAAATAAGAAAATAATTCAAATAAGCTTGATGGGTCGTGCATAGGCCATGGATAAAGTTTCAAGAAGAGATTTGAGGCCCATTAGAAAAAATAAGGTATTTTGAGCAAAGTTGACTTTTGCAAATTCATAAAAATTTCCCAACTTCTCCAATGCATATCTTTCTCAATTTTGATCATATGAACATGTTCTTGGACATTTTGGAAAGGTATTGAAGTCATCTAACCAATGCCTTTGGTCCCATGTAATTTGGATTTACCAATCTCAAGTTATGGTCTTTGACTTAAAATGCATTTTTGTTGACTTTTGAAATTGACCTATAATGTAGAAATTGATAACTTTTTATGAGAGCATTTATTGAACTTGGAATGTGAAGATGGATTGTAGGAAATGTACTCCTATTAAAAATGAGCATTATATGGGATTTTTCTGATGAACCATGAAAAAGTTATGCCTTGGTCAAGATACAGTTGACTTTTCTGCTGTCCAAAAATAGTAACTTTTGCATCTTGATGATTTTTGAGCCATTCTTGTGGAATTATGATCAAGACTTGATCAAATGATGATTGTGGACTCAAAATAAGATGTTGACCAAAATTTTTGACTTTTGACTACAAAATGACCATTTTACCCCTGTAGTCGATTGTGAATCAAATGGAGCTTTTGACTGTGCAAATTGGCACTGTGAGTCTTGAAACTTGGCATGTAGGTGCTTGAGAATATATGTAGGCATATGAGACTTGTTTGAGCCATTGAAAACCTCAGATTCCTTGAAAGAACCAAAACCCTAATTTTGACTGGCTTAGGAGGCATTTGGACTGTGCAACCCTTGAGAAATCTTGAACCATTTGAAGATGATTCTTGACAAACCTTGAAGAATATGGGAGGGCAAATTTTTGGGTACAACAGTTGCCCCTGTTCAATCTTCTTAAACCTGAGGATGTAGATTGGCTTGCGTGCCTTTCGTGATCCGAAGGTGGAAGATGATTGAACACTAAAGTGCCCACACTACAACATTTGTTGTCTCTGGCAACACTTTTTTAGGTAACATGTAGAAATTGTTGCCTTAAATTCATATAGGCAACGATTTACGATTGTTGTAAAAAATATGTTTGCAACCCTTGATAATCGTCGCCTAAAATACTTTTGGGGATGTTTATGGAGCGATACTCTTTTATTTTTTTGCCAACGGTTGTTAATTGTGCCCTTAACTGCTTTTGGGGACGATTTTAGAGCGTTAAAATATTATTTCTTTAGCAATGTTTGACAATTGTCCCCTAAAATATTTTTGGGGACATTTTTAGATTGTTACATTAGTTCTAATAAAAGGCTACATTTCTGAAATGTTGTATAAATTTTTTTAGAATTATCAAATTTTTGGTGGCAATCTTCCCTCCAAAACTTATACACTAAAAAACAAATATTTTTATCTAAACATTATTAATATATATAAAAAAATTTTTTTTTCTAACACAGGAATTTAAAATCCTAATAAAATAAACATATAAAAAGAGCAAAGAGGTTACAGTAGAAACAAATGGGAGGAACCACTCATATCTAATATATATATATATATATATATATATATATATATATATATATATATATATATATATATATATATATATATATATATATATATATATATATATATATATATATATATATATATATATATATATATATATATATATATATATATATATATATATATATAGACATTCCACTCTCTTTATAAAAATAAAAAGGAAAAAACTTCCTATTAAAAATAAAAACAAAAGAAGACCAAACTTTAAGAAACAGAACACGTTAACCCAAACCTCAGTATTCTTTCTTTCTCATTTTTTTAGATCTTCTGCTAACCTTCCTCCTCCATATCTCTTCATTTTTCTTAACTTAACAAATATCCCATAAATTCAAATTAAACAAACAAGCCATCGAAAGGTGAAAGTATTGTACCTGAAACCCAGAATCGTTGGTGGGTTGCGGGTTGTTGTTACACTGGATCTAGATGGAGGGGTTTGCAATCGTGTTGGTTCTGTGGCAGAAGGTATGGACTGTGGATCTCGGAGTGCGTCGTGGTGGTTTACTTTAGTGACGGTTCTCGGTGCTACAGGGCGTTTGTCGGTGTCACGTGTTGTTTCTGGTGCATTGTGGACTCGCGGCTGCGATCGGAGCGGAAAGCTGGAGTCTCAAGTCTGCGCGATTTGGAGTGTGGTAAGGATGGAAGAGGAAACTTATTCTTCCCAATTCTTTTTTACTTCGCATTGTTTTCTGCTACGGTTATGATATTATTGTCGTCTAGAATTCACTGCTGGGTTAAAGGTGATGAGTTTGTGTGAGTTTTGGTTTTTGTGTGTATAAGCGCTACTAACATTTTCATTGTTACAATAAGATAGAGTTAGGTCAAATTTTAAGAGTTGCAAAGAGGAAAATTCAAGAGTCGATGATCTCCTTAGAACTTGTAAGTACTTAAAGTACTTGCAAGTTACTTCTCTTGACTGAATATACACGAGAAGTGTTGCCTCTTTACTAGAGCAGTGAAAATTAAGGCTATATGATAGTTGTGGTTGGACTGCAAAGATACGAAATATTCTTCATAGATATTTATTCTTAATATATATACTCAATCTTTTTTTCCAAATCGTATTGCAGGAGAGATGATTGTAGGTCCCATAAAAGCACTTTTTATGGATGAAATACCAACTGGCTTAGACAGCTCCACTACTTTTCAAATAGTTACATGTCTCCAGCAATTGGTGCACATCAATGATGCAACAGCAGTGCTTTCACTCCTCCAACCAGCACCAGAAACCTTTGAGTTGTTTGATGATCTTATATTGATGGCAGAGGGGAAGATAATATACCATGGCCCCTGCAGTCAAGCACTCCAGTTCTTTAAGGATTGCGGTTTCTGGTGCCCTGAAAGAAAAGGAGTGGTAGACTTTCTTCAAGAGGTAAGAATAGAAATTGTGTCCCTTACCATTGCGCCAAAGTTCAAGTGATTTTACTCATAGTTTCACGAATTACAAATTTCATGCGCACGTAGGTAACCTCTAAGAAGGATCAAAGGCAATACTGGTACCGCACAGATATTCCTTACAGTTATGTTTCAGTGGATGAGTTCTCTCAAATTTTCAAAACAAGCTACTAGGGAAGAATGTTAGTTGATGAGCTCTCACAACCATATGATAAATCTCAATCCCATGAAAGTTCTTTATCATATAGCAAGTACTCCTTAGGAAAATGGGATTTGTTTGAAGCTTGTATGAAGAGGGAGATTCTTCTCATGAAACGAAACTCGTTTATCTATATATTCAAAACTGTGCAGGTTACTATCAAATTCAAGTTCAATTCAACTCAGCTAAGTCGTACTTGAACATATAAAATCTAACTTGCTTCTTTTTTCGCTTGTTTTGCAGCTTACAATCACTGCAATCATAACAATGACGGTCTTTTTGCGCACACAACTTGACGTGGACTTGTTAGGATCAAACTATTTATTAGGTTCACTGTACTATACACTTGTACGCCTAATGACAAATGGAGTTGCCGAGTTGATAATGACTATTACTAGACTACCCGTTGTTTATAAGCAGAAAGCATTCTATCTCTATCCAGCTTGGGCTTACTGTCTTCCAGCTGCCATACTAAAGATTCCATTTTCAGTCCTTGATTCTCTTGTTTGGACATCAATAACATATTATGTTATAGGATACAGCCCAGAAATAACAAGGTCTGTAACTCGTGTATATGTAAGTATAGTCAAACTTTTTCTCTTTTCTTTTGCAAGTTTTTTCTTATATATTTATTATTGAATCAGGTTCCTCCGCCAGTTCCTTTTGCTTATCGCTCTGCACATGTCATCAACCTCTATGTGTCGTTCCCTTGCTGCAGTTTTTAAAACTGATGTTGCAGCTACAACTGTTGGTTCTTTGGTCTTAGTACTCATGTTCTTGTTTGGAGGCTTTATTCTTCCTCGACGTAAGCCGCTTTATATCGTCTTAGTTATAACATGTGGTAGTACTAAATTACCAATTACCAAGTTACTCATCATGGAGTTTATTCTCTGCAGCATCATTACCAAAGTGGTTGAGGTGGGGTTTTTGGCTTTCTCCCATGTCATATGGGGAAATAGGAATAACACTCAATGAATTTCTTGCTCCTCGCTGGCAAAAGGTATCTTCTAATATAATTTATTTGGTTTCATGATAGGTCACAATATACGTTTATATGGATCTAATTCATATACATTGTTAGGATGATGATTTTTTATATTGTCAATGAATCATAATCGGAAGATCATTACAAATGTTTGACGTTTATTCTAAATACTACTGAAGTCACGCATATAACTGGTTGTAATTTGTTTACAGTGTAAAACTTTTTACACAGACGGTGTATCAACATGAATCTCCAGTTATATATTTATATTTACTATCGTTATTTTCATCATCATTATTTTTCAGATTCAAGAGGGAAACATCACCGTTGGAAGAGAGGTTCTCAAGAGTCGTGGTTTAGACTTTGATATCAACTTTTTCTGGATATCAATTGCAGCATTACTTGGTTTTGCAATAGTATTTGATATCCTATTTGTAGTAGCATTAACTTACTTAAAAGGTGAGTCCTATCCATGATATTACACGGAAAAGTAATTGTATGTAACATTGTTTATATAATACGTTTGCTTAATATAATCGGCCAACATTGTCTATAATAGTAGCTAATATTTTTTTTTGTTGTAATTTATGCTAGTCCCAACTTCAAGAAATGGTTGAAAAGGAGGAAAGTGATACAGAAGCTTTTAAAGTTTTTTTTGGAAAGGAGTGTCCAGGCAGGGTACGCTGTTATGGGAGAAACATAACTAAAACTTCCTTAAAGATAAAGGCAGAGATTAATGCTTTGAAACAAGCCCACAGTGAAGAGGTCTCTACATTAAGGGACGAGTTTCAAGATAAGATTGATAGATTGCAAAATGATTTTAAGACCGTAATACAACAATGCAATCCTCAAATTAATATAGAGTCAATTGAAGATTTTGTTAGGATTATCTCATGGAGATGCTAATAGTTCCCCAAAGGATATAAGACCGCAAATGCATTCATCTACATCAACTCATGCTCCATGTCATGGAAAGGTAACCATATATACCAATATTATTGATTTATATTTTTCTAATTATGTTATAGTATCAAAATGGTTGTTAATGTAGGCAAAAATTTGCAAGTAGTGACAACACCTAGAATAAAGTAAGTGGTTGAAATTGTTTAAGTAGTGACAACACCTAGAAGTGGCTGAAACTGTTTTATTTGTGCGAGCTTTCATTGATATTTCACAAACATACTTGCCTGGGATAAGATTATGGGACCCCTTGTTTGATAACACTCAATATGTATGCTGTAAATTTATCCATATGATACTGAACACCAATGAAGATACAACAAGTAAGAGTGTTCATCATAGTTCATTTACTCCAAAAAATAAACATAAAAGGATAGCACAAGTTATACATACATACATACATACATACATACATACATACATACAGTTAAAGGCTATTGTAAGTCCTGAATAGTGAGCCAAAAACAGAATGGTTTTCATAATTGATTTATTTGCTAGTAAGCTCATGTCACCTATTACAGTTTAGAATGAAAATTCACATCCATTAAAAACCTTCATAATTAATTCACATCCATGAGATGTGAAGAATATAAACAATGTGGTTTGCTCATTGGTTTAGTTTTTATTTGTGCGAGGTTTAATTCTTGTTGATGTCTTAATTGTCCTTTGGACCAAAAATACTTATGGTTAATGTGTTTTATTTTATTTTCTTATGCAGCAATGTATCATTGAAGATGTTGAAAAGGACGATATAAATGATGAAATTCAAGAGGACGACATAAATGATAAAATTCAAGAGGACGACCTAAATGATAAAATTCAAGAGGACGACGTAGATGACGAATTTCAAGAGGACGACATAGATCTAGATGATGAATTTCAAGAGGAGGATATAGATGGTGAATTTCAAGAGGACAACGTAGATGAAGAATTTATGGAGGATGACATATCTAACGAATTTCAAGAGGACGATCTGGATGCTTTACTCCTAGAAGACAAACTTGAATGAGTTGGAGGATGTCTTTTTTTTTGGCTTGTAGTTGAAAGCATTACACTTGAAATATGATTTTTGTTCTTTTGCTGAACTATGTTTTTAGTTATTTTACTAGGGTCATACTTCAAAGTATTAAAAGTAATATTGTTACGTTAGGAATTTTGTGTACTCTATATACTATATCTTGAATTAAAGTTTGAACTCGGTTTTATTATATTACAACTTTTATGGATGTATGGTTTAAGTTATATAATCAATATTATTTTTGAAGCCAATTATTATTGACTATATTATTTTGATAATAATTGCAAAATTGTATATTTTATGTGGACACTATAAAACAACAACCTATAAGCTATGGCTACACTTCAAAAACGATCTTCCTGATTCAGGTTTAAGGCAACGATTGTTAATTGTAGCCGAATTTGGCAACGCAACGCTTAAAAAACGTTGTCTCAGAGGCCGTAAATAATCGTCCCCTATTCCTTTACTATAGGCGACGTTTTTCAAAAGCGTTCCCAAAAAACATAAAAAAACGTCGCCTCAAACAATAGGCAACGCTCGCACAGGAGATGCCTAGAAAACATCCCCTATTGTTTTAGGCAACGATTTTCAGAGTTCTGGCAACGTTTTCCAATTGTTGCTGGAGAGCCTAAATGTTGTAGTGCCAGAAATTTGCACTCGCATGGTGTAGTATCAGCAATGGGATGTCGGGAATGGGCTTACAGATGCCATTTGGAGATATGATGGATATAAGGATGGGCTTATAGATGCCATCTGGAGATGCGACAGAATCTTGTCGGGAATGGGCTTATGGATGCCATTTGGAGATGTAATGGATAGTTGTGGAGATGGGCTTAAAGATGCCATCCAGGGGCGTCGATCGCGTAAGAAAATAATTCAAATAAGCTTGATGGGTCGTGCATAGGTCATGGATAAAGTTTCAAGAAGAGATTTGAGGCCCATTAGCAAAAATAAGGTATTTTGAGCAAAGTTGACTTTTGCAAATTCATAAAAATTTCCCAACTTCTCCAATGCATATCTTGTTCAATTTTGATTATATGAACATGTTCTTGGACATTTTGGAAAGGAATTGAAGTCCTCTAACCAATTCCTTTGGTCCCATGTCATTTGGATTTACCAATCTCAAGTTATGGTCTTTGACTTAAAATGCATTTTTGTTGACTTTTGAAATTGACCTATAATGTAGAAATTTATAACTTTTTATGAGAGCATTTCTTGAACTTAGGATGTGAAGATGGATTGTAGGAAATGTCCTCCTATTCAAAATGAGCATTGGATGGGATTTTTCTGATGAACCATGAAAAAGTTATGCCTTGGTCAAGATACAGTTGACTTTTCTACTGTCCAAAAATAGTAACTTTTGCATCTTGATGATTTTTGAGGCATTCTTGTGGAATCATGATCAAGACTTGATCAAATGATGATTGTGGACTCAAAATAAGATGTTGACCAAAAAGTTTGACTTTTGACTACAAAATGACCATTTTACCCCTGCAGTTGATTGTGAATCAAATGGAGCTTTTGACTGTGCAAATTGGCACTGTGAGTCTTGAAACTTGGCATGTAGGTGCTTGAGAATATATGTAGGCATATGAGACTTGTTTGAGCCATTGAAAACCTCAGATTCCTTGAAAGAACCAAAACCCTAATTTTGACTTGCTTAGGAGGCATTTGGACTGTGCAACCCTTGAGAAATCTTGAACCATTTGAAGATGATTCTTGACAAACCTTGAAGAATATGGGAGGGCAAATTTTAGGGTACAACACCAAGACCCTACCCTATGCATGGTCACTTCCTAAACTCAAATATGGGGTTAAGACTAGCACAAGATCTTTACACCACCTAGTTCGAAGCATGGCTGCTTTGAAACCTTAAAATGGCACCCTGCACTTCCACACTTATGCTTGTATGAATGATCAGTAAGAATGCAAAGATGCATATAAAAAAACAATCCAAATCGAAAGGTTGTGACCCAGAATTTTACCAAAGACCAGTGGGCTTGATGCGTGACTTTTGGATAGTGCTTGGGAACACTTTATGCAGACTTCAAGGAGTGAAAAGAGTGTTGCTGAAGACTCCTTCGATTGGGACCACTTATGAGGATTTTGATAGCTTTGGGGTGGTTTACTGAGGAAGTGTATGCGTGTGGCTCTTTGAGGCAATTTTTTTGTGTCTTTTCTTGTGCAACTTTCGTGTGTTGTAATGTGTCATTGGCCTCCTATTTATAGGAGTGTGGGAGTGCACGAAAATGGCAAGGGACAGCCATTAAAACAGGCCTTTAACGCCCTGGACAAAAATCAAACACATTAAATTATTTCCTCTTTTGAAACATTCGTGTCCCTTGAATGAACCTAGACGCTTTTGGATTTCGAATGCTTTCAGGCCATGCTCTTCGATCGGTCCTGATTTGCCTCCTTCGAATGGACTTCCTGTGTACCCTTCGAATGGGCCTTCTGAATGCTTCTTCGAATGGTCTTGAGTTGCACAGAATCACTCTGGTCGAATTAGCTCTTTAGGAACAGAAAAGGCAAGAATTTGGCCTTTAACTCAGGAATTAAATCCACAATCAGCATTTAATTATTTCTATATTTGCAAGGGAAACATGCCATTTTCTCATGTTCAGTGTACTTGGACATGTTTGAGTGCCCTCTTGATGGCCTCTTTCGAATGGCCCTTGTCCAAATATCAATCGAAGGATTCCAATCGAAAGGCTCCGTTAACAGGCCAATCGAAGGGTGTTGTTTCATGCTAATCGAAGGATCCCTTGGCATGCCAATCGAAGGCCTGGCCCTGGGTGCCAATCGAAAGGCTCATTCAGAATCCAAATCGAAGGGTACTTTCAGAATGCCAATCGAAAGATACTTAAAGTACCACTCAAAAATTTTCTTTTTCCTTAGGCAAGAGTTTGTGATCAACCATGCAGGGGGAAGACTTTGGAAAACATGAGAGGGCAAATTTTGGGGTGCAACAGCTGGTTTGCATTTTGCATTTTATATTTGCAAAATGTCGCGGTAAGTAAGAGTCGCCACCGACTTTTATTTTATCCAACCGGAAAGGAAAAAAGCACAGAAAAAAATCCTTTTTCGAGATATTCTGAGTATGGGGGGTAGATTATAGAAAGGGAAGGTGTTAGCACCCTTTTTATCCATGGTTTTCCATGGGCTCTTAGGTACTTGCTCATCTTTAAAAATTGCTTGTGTGTGTGTTTTGTTTTGAAAAGTTTTTGTCTTACTTCGTTTTAACCCTTATTTTTATCCTCAAGAGTGTTACAAAGTTGCTTTTGAAAACGTTGTTTGAAAAGTGTTCGGTGTGAAAAAGTTTGATTTGAGCAAGTACCTACTAGCATCTACCTACTCGAAAAAGGATTGTTTCTATTTTCGTTTCCTTTAGACAGCGCTATCCTACTATCGAGAAATAGATAGCACCGTCGTTGGAGTTGTAAGGGTCAATTCGTAAGGGACGTACGATCACTAAAGCAATGTTAGGAAGTCTTAGTAATAACCCTAAAGTCTTAAGATCATATTCGAGGCAACATTTCTGAGGCAACATTTCCGAGGCAACATTTCCGAACGGGACTTTTGATCTTTGTTTAGACATGAGGGAAACCACTAAGACATCCTATACTTAATGATCGTTTACCGAAGGCAACCGAAGTGAGAGTATATCCTAGGATTGCGCATGTGCGAGTGTTTTGATTTCAGTTATTATCTTTGCACATTAGGGTTTTCTAGCCGTTTTAAATCATCATGCAGTCTTGTCATACAATCCTATTAACATACATCTAAAGAGTTAATATTTGCGAGAATTAAAATGCGAGAAATAAAACCTACGCTATTACAAGGCTTCGGGGTAGGGATTAATTACATAGCCAAAAAACCCGTAAAAGACGATGAGTAAAGAAAATCCTAGATTAAACTATTACATACT